TTGAATAATATAATAGTTTCCATGATATACGAAATTTTGTATTTAATTCATTTATGTAGTGCCAAGCCCCCAATTGAAATCTCGCCCGTTATTCTCTAAATGTTCACATGAATGTCAGAGTTTTTTATGTAAAATTTTAAGATTCTAGCTCTAGTAGTTTCCAGATACACAATTATTCTATTTCCTTCATGTGGGGATGAAAGTCCGATCTTTTTCCTCCAAAATATTCAGATGATTATTGAAGTAATTTCTGCAAAATTTGAAGAATCTAGTTCTATTAGTTTCCCAGATATGAAAGTCCGCTCGTTTTCCCCCAAAATGTTCAGTTGAATATTAAAGTAATTTATGCAAAATTTGAAGAATCTAGTTCTATTAGTTTCCCAGATAAATGAATTTTTGTATTTAATTAATATGGGAAGTGCCAAGTCCCCCATTTAAAGTCCGCCAATTATTCCCTAAATGTTCACATTAATGTCAAAGTACTTCAAGTAAAATTTGAAGATTCTTGCTCTAATAGTTTCTCAGATATACGAATTTTTCTATTTAATTCATATGGGGGCTCCAAGCCCCCCCAGATGGAAGTCCGATCTTTTTCATCCAAAATGTTCAGACGAATATTTAAGTTCTTAGTGCAAAAGTTGAAGAATTTAGTTCTATTAGTTTCCCAGATAAACGAATTTTTGCATTTAATTAATATGGGAGGTGCCGCTCCCCTCATGGGTAGTCCGCCAATTTATTTCCCAAAATGTTAACATGGATGTTAAAATTATTTGTGCAAAATTTTAAGATTCTAACTGTAATTATTTCTAAGATAAACGAATTTTTGTTTTTAATTTATATGGGAGGTGCCACGCCCCCTAATGCTAGTCCGCCTACTTTTTGTCCTAAATAATCATATTGACACTAAAGTGGCTCCGACAAAATTTGAGGACTCCAAATGTTATATTATCTCAAATATACGGTTTTAATATTTTCTAATATGGGCGTGGAACCTCGCCCACTTGAAATTTCAAAATAAAAAGTAGCCTATTACCTATTCCAGACATACAGGAATACGCTGTGAAAATTTCAAGAAAATTGGTTCAGCAGTTTTGTAGTCTATAACGTTCAAACATACAAACAAACACACATTCATTTTTATATATATAGATAAATAATGTTCGGTTTTTTTGTTTACATCTGCTGCAAATTACCAAGCGATACAAATGAAGCGACAATCTCTACACAACACCCAGCATGTTTTCAGCGAATACATTGTTTGAAAACATTATTGTCCAATTCGATCTGTTTGTTGTTGGTTGATTCATGTATAATGCAAAATTTATTTCATTAGCAAGAATTGTCATCAAAATATGTATAACAGCAGGATTAAGAGAGAGTGAGTTAGATAGTTAAACTGAGATCTTCCTCTCTTGCTTATGGCCAAATGTGGGCCATTGAATTTAAGTATTAGGTTATAACTCTAAAAGTGTATGGTCAGTTTTTAAGAAAATGCAACAGTTGTCGAACAATTTGTAGCGTTACACGATTGTTAAAGAAATCGTATCAATGGTTTACAATAATTAATCATATACAGTGCTTTTTATCAATGAATGACATTTTATGTTCGATTTTCAAAAATCATTATATTATTTTCCGAATGGCGATCTATATAGCATAACTAAAAAGCTACATGAGTTAACAATGAAGAATAATGTAATACCCTTTCCACTGAATTATATTCGACAATTCATAAACAGATGAACTATCTAAAAGATTTTATCACAGTTCCACTGAGTTAAAAAAAAAAAACTCGAGTTAGAAACTAAAAAATAAATGATTACAAACAATGAGAAACTGTTGCATTAGAATCAATAAATCGCGCTAATGTCCAGCATAGATGTGTATAAGTATGTTTGTTTTTGATCCACCAAAGAGTTTTGAGACACATATGTATATACACGCATAGACACACACACACACCAATATATGATCAACTTTAACTTTAGATCACTGAGATCTGAGTGCAGTATTTTTAACGCTTGAACACACAATAGACAGAATGATTTACCGTACAAAATAGAAATATTTAAAGAAAACAAAAATTAATTAACTGCACATACAGTTCAGAACATATTACATACACTGCCACACACAGATACTGGCATAGCCATAGACATACATATACCTCAATAGACATAAGCGCAATAAACCACCATTTCAGACCAGACAACTTGAAAGGTATTATCGCATCTCGGCATATGAGAAGAAGAAGAAAAACTAACTTGAACATAAAAAATATATGTATATATTTACGTACATGTGAACTTACTTATAAAAACTTATTTATTTATGTAAGTATAATAATATGGAGAAGGCGAAGCAAACTATATGTCCCTGTTAGAGACAACTGAAGAACAAAATGAAAAAAAAAAAAAACAGCAAAATTGTGATGGTTGAGTTTGAAGAAAGAAAAGCTTCTCTTTTTTAATTTTTCATTTTGGTTTCTGCTGTAGTTAAATATTTTCTAACAATTTTTCTTTACTTGTGAAAATTACTTATTGCCAAAGCATTGAACTCTGCTACTCGTCGATGTGGTTGTTCTTATTTTTATTATTTTTATTGAATTTTACTTCAAGAGTATGAGAAGAGTATCGAACGAACATGTTTTAAAAGTCGACTAATTAGTGTACGTGTTTTGTTACAGTTATCATCTGCTGTTATATATAGAAAAAAATAGAAAACTTTAAGAATCTGTTTTTTCGGTTCAATTGAATCGGGATTGTTTGGTATGTTCATTTGCAACCTCTCCATCTTTTCTAATGCATAAAGAAGTTTACAAACTAATGTGAAAAAACCACCATAAAAACTAACAAAAAATAGCAAAAAAAATAATGCAAAAGAAAATACTGCAAAACTAACAACAACAATAACAAAAGTAGTCAAGTATTTCATTTAATTTTTTTGTTTCTGCACTGCAACAAATGCGGAAATTGTTAGAAAATTGTTTACTAATGTGTCGCTAGTGAATGTTAAGCACGAGTGTTTGACTTCAGATGGAAATATACAGACATTCATACACAAACACACCGGCATATGTATATTGTTATATCTATATGTGTGTGTGTGGCAAACAAATTAGAAATAAGTTTTAATTAATGAAATTGTATTCAGTTTTTTATTCTAATCTTTCCCATCTAAAAAATAAAATAAATGTTCATTTTTCTTTATTTTTTAATAACAATTTGTTGTTGTATTCCAATTATATAGACAAGTTAGGCTATGTAACTAAAGTCACAACTAATCTAGAATTATGTACATTAGAAGTACATAAAAAGAAGTTTCCAAGCATTTAAGAGGAAAAAGTTTATGGTAGTTTTCAACTAAAATCAAAATTTTTCCATTAAAGATGAAATTTCCATTAAAGATGTTCAAACGATAGTCTCGATTAAAAAATATATTAAGTATTCCTTATTTCTCCATTAAAAAGGTTTTCTTTTCCCTTAATATAAATTATTTGTATTTCAATTAATTTATAAAAGGAATATAAATATTCCATAAGGTTTGTTGTTTAAGTCTTTTGTTTTTATTTACATTATACAGGTCTATTCAGTTCAGTAGCCAAAAATCAATTTTTAGCTATGATTTTGAACTTAAAACTGAAAGTGGGCTATCACTAAGAGTCTAATCCATAGTCTAGTCTATAGTCTAGTCTATAGTCTAGTCTATAGTCTAGTCTATAGTCTAGTCTATAGTCTAGTCTATAGTCTAGTCTATAGTCTAGTCTATAGTCTAGTCTATAGTCTAGTCTATAGTCTAGTCTAGGCTTTTGAAGAAATCTTAATCTAGCGTTTTTTGTGACATTGAAAAATATTTGCAACACTGATCATTTTCTATGCTTTGTTACTTAAATACCCTAAAGGGTTAAACGAGTTAAATTGGGCTATGTATCAATTTAAATATACATATATGTATGGATATATAACTCTCGCCTACATTGAGTTTTCATCTTAAGTTATATCAATCAACATCAGCATATCAACAAATTACATAAGAAATTAAGTCACTGTAAAAATGCAGAGTTAGTAAAAGATCTTTTGACCAAAAGAAATACCAATGCACACCAGATGATTTGACAGTTTAAACTTGTTTCTAAACACATTAGTTAAATTACCAAAATAAAGTGGTTTATCTCATATCGAGTAGCAAGATTTAATATTTAACTAAAGACAATCTTTCAAAATGCTTTCTTTGGGATTTAAAACTTATGAGTAGAAAGACCAGAAGTAAAAAAAACTGAATGCTCAAACTTAAATAGCGATAAGTTTGACGTTTAAATTTGCATAATTAGTTTAAAACACAGACGCATACTAAAATTAAGTGATTAAATGGGAAGTTTTTTATTCCGTGTTCATATTTTAAATCAAATTTACATACTGTGTATTAAAAACTTAAAACAAATTTAATGATAACCCATAAAATGTTTATAAACGAGTATTTATTATCTTTCTGAGATTTTATTTCTTTGTTAAGGCTTATAAATTGTTACGAAAATTTTATTAAGCGAACAAACTTTTACTTTAATTTTTTTTATTTTTTATTTCATTTTACAGTTGTTATTGAAAATACATTATTGGAGGATGTAAACTACCCAAGGGCACAATCATTTACACAAAATTCAAAAACATCAAAATAAATAAATAAATGTTTTGTAACTAAAAGACTGAGTAAATAATAATAAAGAAAGCATTTAAACTGAAAAAAAAATATATAAAAATCAAAAAGTAAAACGTGCAATAAAAAATTGAAGCAATATTTTAATTTATTTTTTTTTTTTATTAAAAAATAAACTTAATATTAAAAAATATACATGCAATAAGTGTATTTTGCCTATAATAAAAAGTAAAACGTTTTAATTTACATTTTTAAACAGTTAATAACGAAACAAAAAATTAAAACAAAAGAAAAGTCAATGAGAAATAAAAGAGAAAATGATATAATTTATTAATTATAACAAAAAAAAATAAAGAAAATAAAGAAAAGTGTTGTACACATCATTAAATATTATTGGCAACAAAAAAGAAGTCATGAAGTTGTAGTTTTAACAATAAGAAAAGTTTATAAAGAAAACAAATTTAATGAAAATATTTAACATACCGCGTACTTGTAATTGTTTTTCACTTTTATTTAAAATTCGTTCATTCCGTCCATTCGTTTGTTTGTTTGATTGTTTCTTTGTTTGTGGCATGACAACGTAATCAATTCATTCAAAAAATAATAAAAATAACTCAAGTGTAGTGCACCGAAACCGTAGAGTGTGAGAGAAAAACTAACTGACTGCCTGCATTTCAATAAAACAAAACAAATACTAAAAACAAATAAAAGTCAAATGGAGAAATTTTTAAAAAATAGATAAAATTAACAAAGATATTCCTAAATCAAAAAAAAAAAAAACAGACTAGAAAATATTAAAGTCAATTAAAGCATCATTATTAAATTATTATCTTTGATTTTTAACATTTATGTTTTGTAAATGTAAAACCAGTGTTCACTTATTAATTAATTACAGTTATAAACAACTGCCCGACAGCCTGTGTATCGTCTATGTATCGTTTGTTTAAAGTCATTAGGAAAAAATAACTCATTAGAAAGAAGAAAATACTAAATTACAAACGATTTAAAGAAAAATAAAATAAATTTATTGATACTGGCCGATCATCTTCTATTACCACTACCAGCCAACACTACCAATACTAATACTATTCCAGCATATATTTATTTCCTTGTTCATGTACCGATCGATGACTTGATGTTTTGGATTTTGCTTAATTTTATAATTGGAAAAACAAAAAACTTGGTAAGTGAATAAATTATGTACTTGAATAATGAAGTAACATGAAAATATAGTAAATAAGTTAAGTACACAAGATTATTTGAACTCCATAAAAAAACAAAAACACACAGAAAATAGATTCATGAAATTCCTTATTATTATTGTTGTTGTTGTTTCTGTTGTTAACTAATTTGTTGAATTTAATAATAATAATGCTAACATTACCTAAAGCCATCAAGCAGAATAATGACAGAATAACACGTAACAATTCCATATGAATAAAATGACATAACAGTATAAGTCTCTAACATTAAAAGAAAAATACATAAATGCTTACACTTACATACAATTGTAGTTGTATTAAGTTTTATTATTTTCTATGTACATGTAAATATATGTCTGTATATAAATTAAATCAACATTCATATACACTTAAATTTGTTTACGAATATACGCATCAGAAATATCAAAGAATTAATTCGTCCTACTTTTAAAATATTTTTTTTTAAATAAAATGCTAATACTTTTATTTGAATGGGATAAGATGGCAAAAAAACTTTTGAGAAACGCCCGTAGGTCAAAGGTAATACTTGCACGCAACCTGTAGTTTGGTAACACGGTCAGTTGGACGGACGGACATACTGATAGAGAGACAGATAGACGGACGGACTAAGAAAGTGATTCGAATCGGTTGAGATACTTTAAGATGAGTATAGGACCAAGAGTTGTGCATGTTAAAAACATCAACACACAACCAGCTAAAACTAACATTGAAATGTAATGATTTAAAAAGTTTAAAAACCGCTTTTCCCAACTCATTATTTTACCTCGGTGATGACATTGGAAGCAAGTACTTAACGCGTTCACTTACAAATAACTACTTAAATAAGTTAAAGGTAGTTTTAGTGATTTTATATAAGTCATTATAAAAGTCCTTAAAAGTAATGCATAAGGCATGTAGTAGTAATTGAAAAGTAAGTGGTTGTGTAAGTACAAATCGTTACCAGGTTATGCTTCAATACTCTGGTGGACTGCTTTGTACAAAAAGTGTAATATCAAACTACTACAGGGAGTTCAGCGTACATGCTTCTTGGGTATAAGAGGTGCTATGTGTACTATTTCAACCAAGGCTCTGGAAACGTTGCTAGATATTCCACCCATTGAATATAAAGAGCCGTTCGGAACTGACTAAAAGCGGTTATAGGACACGTCCTCAATGTGTACTGAACACATTGGAAGGTTATACACAATCGTCGGACGTGCCTGATCGTATACCAAACACAAACCGGACCAGAAACTAAAATATACCACCTAATCATAACACAAGCTTCCAGGCAGAAGTCATAGCAGTCGTTTAATATATTAAGCCCTGTTGCTTAATATAATAACCGACAGCCAGAAGGCAATTAGGGCGATATCAGGCTCGATAGTGGCCTAGGTGCATTTCTACGGATTTGATGTAGTATACATCTGCCTATCAACCTAACCTAACCAAGTCTTTGCCGTATAAATATTGCATATATCCTTTGGTCCTTTCACCTTTATAAAAATAATAAAATTGGCTCTTGTGTTCTGACAGAACTTAATAGACGATTTGATTCTTTGAAATAATGGTTGGAATGAATGTCAACTTTTAAGTGGAAACATATGTATATGTATTTGAATAAATCTACTATAGTCATTATTACCCCTTGGACTTCTTAAATTCTGTTAAGTTCTTTAATTTTAATGATTTCTTAACTAAATCTTCGGAAGAATTTTAGGAAGAATTTTACAGTTCCCCCTGAGGGAAGTAAGTAAAGAACAATTTTTTTCTTAGTGTGAACTATTTAACCGGCCCTTAATAATTCGAAAAATGAATTGAAATTGTAGCATAAATATGAATATTCTTAGAAATAGTATTTAAATACAAATAGGATTAATTGGGAATAAAATTTAAACCCACACGTTTTAATAAACAAAAGACTTAAGAAACAAACTTACTTTTTGTAAAGAAAAAAAATTGCCACTTTAAGGAACTGAAAACTTTGGATAAAATAAGAAAAGTATGACATTCTAGTCCACACAAAAGCTGTTTTATTAAGATAACAACATTTTTGAGATAAACAAAAGACTTAAGAAACAAACCTTTTAAGGAAGTAAAATTAAAATTTTCTTTTATGAAAAAAAAAAAACGCAACATAATTAATACTTAAACGTATATTACACACATGCGTGTAAATGTATAGTGACAGACAGCATTTATGTATTTATTTATTATTATTTTTGCTCAGTGTAAACAGCTAAATGATTTTGGTGTTAACAAACTATTTGATCATGCTCTCGTTTTGTTTTTGTTTATTGCTTAAACTTTTAAAGTCATTTTTTTGTTTCTGTGCTTTTTTTATCAACTTTATTTCTATGCAATGTAAATTTGTAAGCATGCGTGACTTATTTGTGTCATTTTGAAAAAAAAAAAAACAGAAGAAAAAAAAATAAATTATGCAATAAAAACTCTTTGAAATGTACGTTAAATTCATTTTAAAATTGTACATACTAGTAGTATGGAAATAATAAAAAGTGTAAGTTGATGTTACAGACATACTAGATACATACATATTAATGTGTGTATGTATGCTTAAATGTAGGTTGAGGTGTTTTATATTGTATTTATTTTTAGATATTTAAATACATATTTTGAACTTATGATTAAATTGTTATCGCAAAAGTATAATATTTAAGCTGTTTTGACAGTTCTTTCTATTAACCTACAAAAAGCTGTTCTTAAATGGTTGAAGGTGTGTTAAAACCTTTTTCTATTTATGACCCCATTCGAAATTTAATTTTTTTATATTTTTTTTTTTTACTTTGAGCTAATTGCTCATTTAACAAATTTCTTTTTCATCTTAAATGATTTACTTCAATAATTTCTCTTTAATGAGAGAAATGCTTATTGCAACAAAAAATTTAAATAAAACCAGTCAAGAAGTGAATGTAAATATTAAACTACATTTGTGAAAAAAGTGAATTACATATTTAAATTTAAAACATTTCAAGCAATTAACATTTTTGTATCCCTCTTTATAAACTAAAAAGATTATTCCATTAAAACTTCACTTTTTTTTGCTTAATTTAAAAACCTACTTTAGTTAAATAAAAAAAAGAAACAAATTTATTATAGAATAGATAAACTACTTACATAAGTGTGCTTATGTAAAAAATTAACAACTATAATAATTTTATTACTTAACAAATTGCGAATATAAAAATACCAATTAATTTAAAAGTGAACAAATTAATGTTTGAACAATTAAAGCACACGCCTTTTTAAGTTAAAATTATAATAATAATAAAAACTTTAATGATTTATAAATTTAATTAATAACACTTAATTTTAAAAAGCGAGAGTGGATTATTTCGAAATGTGGGATTATTAAAGAAATCGTTTTTAACTTCTGTTTAATGTGTTTTTTTTTCAATACATAAACAAAATGTTTCTACGGGAGCTTGTGGAACAAGCTAGACAGATTTTGATACTGATTTGTAGTATCAAAGGAACCTTAATGCCTTACAAAATGTCGTAGAGAATCAAAGAGAGTTCAGTGATTTGGTAATGATTCATAGAATTTTTTAGTTTTTCCTAATACTCTCAACTGACTTAAAAAATCACACAAATTTATTAATCTATATATGTATATAAAAGAGTAGCGTTACTGACTGACTGATTCATCATCTCACAGCCCAAACGGCTGAACCGAGAATCATGAAATTTTGACAGTAGACGTGTTTTTGATTATGCAGATCCACTAAGGAGGGATTTTTGGAAATTTGTACATTTACGGGTAAAAAGGGGAAAAAACGGGTAAAACACGTTTTCTTAATTATCTTACACAATATTAGTGATACAAGAAAAATTTTAAATACACCTGTATCTACTCTTAAAATGGTACCAGACTTAATGTCTGGTACTTTTTTGAAATTCGTACTTTTAAGGGGTAAAAATGTGTAACAAAGGTGATTTTGGTGCCTTTTCTGACCCTTTATAACTTTTGAACTAATTAACATAATACAATTTTTATAAATATTTTGGATACATCTCCCAAAATTATGAGACACCTATTTCGTACTTTTTAAAATTCAGTCCTTTTTGGGTGTAAAACTGTATTTTTTAGCACATTAAGAAAACTTTTTCGGTTTATTGAATTATTCCTATTAAATTACGGACTAACTCTGTAATATTTATTGTAATAAAATTTTTGCTATTTCACTGGGGAAAAAAGTACCAAAAAGGGAAAAAACGGGAAATTTAATTTTATTCAAACTCATTGAACCAAGTTTTATAAAATTTGAAAAAGTAGTTTATTTACTCACACAAAATAAGCTGTTGGTATGTTATTTTGGAATTCGAGTACTAAGGCCTATATAGGACCAAATTCGAGTAAATTGTTTGGTACTTTTTGAAAGTACTATTTTTCTGGAACAAATGAATGCAGATTTGAATCGTTTGAGTTTTATCTGTGATATATAGATTTAAATATGGAATATTTTGTAAACTTAATTCTCGAAAAAGTATATTTCTAAGCGAAAAGGGGAAAAATTGTATTCTTTATTAGTACTTTCCACTTAGGTAAAATTTATTCTACTTTTGGTACTTTTTCTTTCTCTTTGTATGTTCTTTAATATGAATTCAAAACACATGATTATTAAACATACACGGTCCTCATTGAATAAGATTCTTTAAGAGAGAACTTTTTAGTACTTTTTATCTCATAAATGGTACTTTTTTAATTTTCTAAAATATTCAACCTTGGAATATTAATTTTAACATACATGGTCTTGACTGAATAATATTCTGTAAGTGGGAACTATTTGGTTCTTTTTCTATTCTTCAAATGGTACCATTTAGATTCTTTGTAATGGTTAACCGGAACACACGGTCCTTATTAAATGAGAATTTATTGAGAGATATTTTTGTACTTTTTCGTTTTTCCGATGGTACTTTTTGATATTTTTATGATATTGAACATAGATATTGAAAATAAAAT